CCAACCCCTCCGCCTTTAGCGGCACGCACCTTCCCTACTGCACGTGCACATACGACGGTGAAGTGGCCACGCCCGCAATTCCGGGACTGACGTGTGACGCAGATGGCAGCATCTCAGCTGCAGACCTACTCGGCGAGCTGATAAACCATGGATCTCGCGCGGGAGAGTGGCAGCAGAGCGGTGGCGACCACGTGCCTGAGGACTGGGTTGGTTGGAGATGGCACGTTGGATAGCAATCGCGATGGAGATTATCTTGGCATGCCATACCTCACGAGCTTCTGCACGGCGTGCAAACGAATCCGTTCTGATGAGCCTTTCCTTTCGCATGTGGCCAGAGACCCTGACCTGCGAGCTCGCATGTGCATGAAAGTCTCAACCACTGTGAGCGTGAGGCTGTGCGTGGCTGTCGGAGACTCCGTGCGGCTGCGCGATGCGGTTTGCCAGCACTGTCGAAAGTCGGATCCGGTGGAGGATCAGTGAGTTACCCCTTACTTGAAGATAACACAGGCTTGAGAGAGAGGCCACTAGGGCTGCACTAGGGATCCGTCGCCGCAGGCCCCACACTAGTCCTGGATATAGGGAGACAACCCGACGGGCAGACCCCGCCCCGCTCGGAGGGCGTGCACCACACAGCACACCTGCACACGCGCACGTGTTGCGCGCGCGTACCATTCTTTGTTCGTACACTACCTTGTCTGATACGCTCCTAGGTAGACTTGGTGCGTGTGTATATGAAGTCGCCGCCGCCGCAGCAGACCGCCGGCCCGCCTGGGTACGACCGCCTGCAAAAGCAGGTCAAGCTCCAGCTGGAGATGCACCGCGTGGGGATCCAACGGGACGAGATGACCGAGAGTCGGCTCGCGGCCGTCGAGAGTCGGCTCGCGGCCATCGAGCACAACCGAGAGTGCCTCCAGGGCCGCGTCGAGGCCCTCGAGGTCCAGGTCTTCAACCAAACCTTCAACAACTACCAGCCTCCGCCAGGGGGCGTGGGGACCCGTCGGGCGCCCGGCTACGGGATGCGCCGCCTCACCCACCGAGTCGCGGAGCTCGAGCGGGCGGCCATGACCATCCCTGTCGGCGTCACCGTGAACGTCGTCAACCCGGGCGGGCCGCTGCGCGACGACTCCGAGACGGAAGACGACATGGCGTAGCGCAGTGTCACGCGACCGTTATACACACGGCGCCCCCCTGAGATTCGGTTGAGATGCACATGAGCTCGCCAGCTCGCGCGTGTAATTCGTCGATCGGCCGTCCTCTTCACACATCTCATTGAGATTGTTATCTAAATTGCATGTTCACAGCAATTGTCTCCTCTTTTTTTTCACCACCTGAGATCCCGAATCTCAGCCCTGCAATTATGACCCCAACTGCCCTGCCCTGCCCTGCCGTACTGCCCTGCCCGCATACTGCCGCACAACTGCCCTGCCCTGCCCTGCCCGATCCCCTACCTGCCCCGGGTGTGAAACCCACACTGCCCTGCCCTGCCCTGCCCACACTGCCGAGGTGTGAATACCTGCCCGCTCCCGAGGTCTCGGAGAAACTTAGGGTAGACGTATATGGGCACGGACGCCGACCTCCACCTCTCCGACGTGCATCTCCGGGCTGACTGCAGCGACGCTGGTTGCGATTTGCCGTGTGAGACCGTGTTTCCTTTTGCAGAGGCTGCGGACGCGGCCTCCTCCTCCGACGACGCCCACGAGCCAACTGCGGCCGTCGACGAGGATGGAGACCTCTTGTGCGCTCGCCGCAAGCGTCGAAAGCTGGCGACGCCTGGTCGCGGGCGGCTCCGGATCTGCCACGCGCTGGCCACCCCGCTTTCTGACGTGGGGCTGCAGGTCTGGCGCGGCGCGCTGCTGCTGTGCGACCACCTGTTTGCGCGTGAGAGCGCGCAGCTGCTCGACGGCGCGGTCGTGCTCGACCTCGGCGCGGGCTGCGGTCTCACCTCGGCCGCCGCTTGCCTCGCGGGAGCACGGGCCGTCTTTTGCACGGATGCCCACACCGCATCTCTGCGCAACTCGGCCAACAACGCAGACGCGAATGGCGTGGGAGGACTCGTCCGAGTGCGCCGGCTCGACTGGAGCGCGGTGGATGTTTGGCCTTCGCCGTCAGAGGGCGAGTTCGGGTGGAGCTCCTCCGACCTGCAGGCGCTGCGTGGCGCGACGGTGCTGCTCGCCGCGGACTGCGTCTACGACGACGGGATGACGTCGGCGCTCGTGGCGCTGATGTCGCGCGTGCTGCCGGCGCTCGGGCCCTCGGCCGTCGCCTTCGTCTCACTCGAGCGACGCGTCAACTTTTGCCTGGAGGGCATGTGCGCGCGCGCGCCTGCCGCCGAGCACTTCCACCGCGAGCTCGAGGCGCAGCGCGGCCTGCTCGTGGGGAGCCTCGTGGCGCCAGACGGAGTGCCGCAGCGGTTCGAGTACGAGCGCGCCCCCACTCTGGAGCTGTGGAGAGTGCGGGCCGCCTGCGCCTCTGCGGAGCAGGGCGCCAGCGAGAGACGCGTGAGAAGTGAGAACTCTGCAGAGCCGGTCTCGGGCGACATCCTCGTCAGGGGCGCCTCGTCTCTGACTCCGCGTTCATAACCCCTCTTTATCCTCTCTCATCTGATTATGAAAACACATGACATGATGAAAAACGGGAAAGAACCAATGCCGAATACATGACTTCGGCATCCGTCGGGCGTGTGTGTCGGTCGATGATCCGAGATGAGACTTGCACAGACGTTCGCTCTTTTTCTCCGGTCTGACCGGTCTGACAGACTCGGAGAAGACTCGGCGCCGGTCTGCGGTCTCCGGTCTTCTCTCCTCTAGCTTCTGCCTTCTCTCGTTCGCCCATAAAGCCGTACGAGATACGTTCGCCGCGCCCGCGGGGGCGCGGGGAAGGGGCCTCTCGCCCTTTGTCGTGGCATTGCCGCGGCCAGGGCTCGAGGGCCAGGGACGCCCGCGCCGAACTCCACCCCCGCGCGCGCCCGGCCGTCGATCACCTCACCGCGACGACTCGGGTGTGGGGGCTGGCCACCAGAGACTAGACCGGAGAGTTGCAGACTCTGCGGAGACCGTCATCGACATCGTCCGTCGCGGTTCTCCATTTTTAACTTGAGTTCTCACCCGCCTCCTTGGCTCCGCCTGGGGCTCCGCCGGCCTGTCGGCGGCGGGGTGTCGGCGGGCGCTTGCCGCTCGGCGGGCGCACGCGTGACAACGTGAGGTGCGACTCGACCTCGCTCTCATGGGCAGAAGGCAGCGGGCTCGCGTCCTTCGGTGGGGCTGCCGCCGAGGCCGTGGCGGGCTCCGTGACTTTCGCCACGCCGCCAGCCAGCCAGCGAGACCAGGACGCCCAAAAGCTAGTTTTGCCGGTGTCCTGCTGCTGGCTGAGGGCGGCGCTGTCCGCCTGCCCCGCCCCGCCTGGCGGCTGCTGGTCGGCGGCTGACGCTTGTGCTAGCCGCTGTTCTTTCTTCTCGTACCGTTACCTTGTCTTCCCACTCTTTGACTTTTGCTTTTTGTTTCACCTCTTATCATGGTGGTCTTCCTCCCCTTCTGACCCCTCATCCCCAATGGTTTCTTCCCGTTCCGCCTGTCGTCCGTTCATTCTCCAATCCCTTTTTTAATTTCGCTTCTCTCCTTCCTTCCTTGTGGTCC